ATGTGATTCACAGGATATAAAGATGTGCTTCAGGGTAAAGATACTGCAGGAAATAACTCCTTTCCTATGAGAAAAATAAATGCATCTCATACAAGTAGAAGGTTAAATTCAAAAGCCAGTAAAATTAGATCACTTAATTTCCCACTTCACATACTATTTCTTTAGTAAGATTCATTACACCTACCATTTGTTGAGCACTTAGTATATATCAGGCTGTGATCTAAATTTCTGATCTTCACAACAACCTATCATGAGTTACTATTATTACCTGCTTTTAGCTGTTGAGGAAACTAAGGAACTGGACAGACTGTAACAGTAAGACAGCCAAGCACAAACCAAGAAAGATGTGCTTGTTCTCATCCAAATTAGCATTTTCAGGGGTCTTCCCCGGTGGCCCAAAGGGTAAAGGCTCAGCACTTCGAAGCTATCCACAGCTGCAGCCTCTTCAGTGAGAGTTCAATCGCTGGCCAGTCAAGGAGGTGACCCACATGGTGCAGCAGACCTCCCCTGACCCGTCCACTGCTCACCTTAGCAGTGTACTTCATCCATTTGTCTGTTCTGCTCCCCACTCTGTCTCTGGCGAATACTCTCACTGCCCCTGCACCTCTGGCCTATACCCCAAGTTCTGTATACATAAATAAATCTTTAAAAAATTAAGATATTGAGTCTAAACAATCTGAGAAACAAGTCAGTCTTTTGTACCAACACCATTAAAATGGAAAGCCATATTTATACATATTGTACTTTCAAAATAAAGTCTGCAGCCAGACTGAATACACCCAATCTCATCTGATCAAAATAAAGTAATATAGGTAACTGTTTCAAAAACTTTGCTATATTGCATGAGTTATTGCTGTTAGGATGGCACCTAGTGAAAGAATTAGAGACCAAAAAGTTTCTTTAAAGATTTATTTATTGATGCATACAGAAATGGGGTACAGGTGCAGTGAGAGAATTCACCACAGTCAGGAGCAGAATAGGCAGACTGACAAAGTACACTGCTGAGGGGAGCAGTGGGCAAGACAGGAGAGGTCTGCTGTGCCATGTGACCTCCCTGGCGGGGGATCAAACTCGTGCTGCAGTGGCTGTGGAAAGCTTCATAGTGCTGTATTTTAACCTGTTGTGCTACCAAGTCACTCAGTGACTTGGTCTATATGTATGAGGAGAAATTATAATTGATTCCCAAAAGTCACATTCTTCTAAGTATGAATTTTCTACATGAATTATTGAGATAATAACTTGTAGATGTTAACTATGTAATAGAAGGAAAGCTACTTTAATGAAATATGCAAGTTTTGTATTTTAGAAGACTTATTATTTTGGACTAAGTAAACAGTCCTGTTGGTAAAAGCACATGCTATAAACACATGATTTGCTCTGCAATAGAACATTGATTAAATCTCACCTTTGGGCATGAGGAAAATAGGAGAGTCTCAAGATAGGACAACTAAAATACTTGGATTCAGAAGAATGTAGTCCTAGATTCTAACTCTCCCAAGTCACTTCAGCTACTTTTAGCATCACATCAAATGAAAGTGGCCAGAATAGTTGTTTTCAGACCTAAAGGTGCAGAGAAATCATTTGGGATCTTAAAACGCAGATCCTAACTTGAGTTTGGAGTGGAGCCTGGGAGTCTACATTTGGAATAGGCCTTCAGGTGATGCCCAGGCTGCTGTGAATCAACTTGTGAATCCCAAAGAACTAAACTTAAGAGTGAGCTTCTGCACTTTTGTAAGTGTCAAAGATTTAAAAGTTTGGGGAGAGGCCCTCCCTGGTGGCGCAGCGGGTTAAAGCACAGCACTGAGAATCTGAAGCCACTTCCGCATGAGTTCAATTCCCGCCTGCCCCGAGGAGACCACATGGCGAGCCAGACCTCTCCTGACCCGCCCGCTGCTTCCCTCAGCAGTGTACTTCGTCGATCTGCCTGTTCTGCTCCCCACTCTGTCTCTGGTGACGCCTCTCACCACCCCTGAGCCTCTGGCCTGTACCCCAGTTCTGTATGAATAAATAAATAAATCTTTAAAAAAAAAAAAAAGTTTGGGGAGAGAGGGATGTTCATTTCCCGTCCACTTATCGCCAAATACATCCCCACATGCGATAAGCCGGGAGAACCAACATTAAGTAAAGCCCACAGGGCTTTCCACTCACTGAAGTGTCAGCGTGGCCAGCGAGCCAAAGTTGACAAAGCCCAACACACAAAGGCGTCCCTCCGCTTGCCAGGCGCGCAAGCCAGAGTCTGTGCCCTGCCTCCCGCTGATTGGCTGGCGGGCCTGCCTCCAGGCTTTCACCAATGAGGCCAGGGCTGTGAGCAGCCGTTGGTAGAGCGAGCATAACCGCCATGCTGAGGGGCCATGGCCGGGTCTGCTAGGCGCTTCCGAAGCCGCGCCCTGGGTTGCTTTCCACTCGCCTTGCCAGTGGGTGACGTGAGTATTTTAGGGTAGCAACAAGACCTTTCCTCTCCAACCACACCCCCACTATCACCCCACACTTAGATAGATACCTTCCAAGCCTCCATCCAGTGGGGACAGATCAGTAATAATGATAATAACTAATATTTATCGAGCCTTCATCATAGGCCAAGCCCGGGCCCAAGGCCTTATTACACAGTTCAACTGGTTGAATCTTAGAGCTCAACAGCAAGGTGGACTTGGCATGACTTCAAAAGAGATGGAGGCTGCCTAAGGTCACATGGAAATAAATACAGGAGGCTGAATTCAAATCTAGTTGTTTTATTGTCCCAACTCCTCAGCCCCGCTTTGGAAACCAGGTCCTTTCTTACTTTGTGTAGGCATACGAGATGAAAGTTAGACTGGTGACCCTTTTTAAGTTACAGATGCTGAAAGCATTCTTGAGAAAGATAAGCACCAGGTTCAGGACAGCTGTCACCGCTTGGGATGAATGGGACTTACAGTTGAATCCTGTTGACTTAAGTTCCCTAGATGTTTGTTATATTATTGCCTTTCTTGTTTATATGAAATACAATTTGGAAAAAAAGCATGCACATGGAAAACCCACTTTGGAAGACAAAGTGTACACATGGAAAAGCAAATTTTCACCTGCCTGGGACTTCTGGAGTCCTCTAGACTCCAGTTGTGTAACTTACACATCTTATATAAGAGTATGTACAAGCATAAGTGTGAGGGTTTTTTGTTTTTTTTTTTTTTTAATGCAAGTGGAGCCTATTATACACAGTACTGCACTTGGATGATTTTTTAAAACCTCATTTAACTTAAAAATTCTTTTTTAGGCCCTCCCTGGTGGCGCAGCAGGTTAAAGCACAGGACTAAGAAGCTTAAGCCACTTCGGCATGAGTTCGATCCCCACCTGCCCCAGAGGAGATCCACATGGCGAGGCAGACCTCTCCTGACTTGCCTGCTGCTCCCTTCAGCAGTGTACTTCGTTGATCTGCCTGTTCTGCTCCCCACTCTTTCTCTGGTGAGTCCTCTCACCCTCTGCATCTCTGGCCTGTACCCCAGTTCTGTATGGATAAATACATCTTTAAAAAACAATATTTATCCATACAGAACTGGATAAATAAACTGGTGTAGGCCAGAGGTGCAGGGCCAGTGAGAGGATTCACCAGAGACAGAGTGGGGAGCAGAACAGACCAACTGACAACGTACACTGCTGAGGGGAGCAGCAGGCAGGTAAGGAGAGGTCTGCCACGCCATGTGGATCACCTCCAGGGCAGGGATCCAACTCATGCTGAAGTGGCTTTAGCTTCTTAGTGCTGTGCTTTACCCCCCACGCCACCAGGGAGGGCCCTAACTTAAAAATTCTTTAGCCCTTTGATCTATATAATTTGGCAAGATAGTCCCAATGTTGCTTTTGATATCATAAGATGTAGATCACGGTCTGCCAGGCTGTGTGTTTGCCTTCATTTTTGCACATCTTTATCTGCAGAAGCTAAAATCTCCCTTAATTTCATCCACTAAAGCATGTCAGAGATAAAGAATCATGGCAAATAGAGTATGCCTGGAATGTCTTTTCCCATTTTGAGACATTTTTGCTCATAATCTACAGGTAAAATTCCATGTAGAACTCACTGTTACTTGAAGTTAATGTAAAAGAATATTGAAAAGTGAGATGAAGGAGGGATTCATTTTCTCAGGTTGCAGCAAAATGTGCAGCTTCTTTCTGGTGAAGTTCTCTGGGGCAGAGAAGCTTGTTTGATTACAGTTTGGTGAAAGCATGTGTCACAGTTAATCTTTTAAATGCCTAAGTTTTTTCCCTTTTTAAATTTTTCCCCTCGTCGCACCTTGTCCACACAACTCTTACATGGAGAATTGCAATTCTAATCCAGCCACAGCTAACTCAAGTAAGACCGGCCTGAGGGCTGTTTCCTGGAGTGAATCTTGCTCATCAGGCTGCTCTGCCTGACTCTTCATGGAACTCCTACCAAGCTTGTTACCTATCTTCCCACCCCTACACCTCCAAATCGGTGTCTGTTCAGTACCACAAAACTGCTTGTACATTTCTCATCTCTAATACTCTACCGGAACGATTTCTCTATTGCCTTCCTTTAGTATTTTCAAGGTTAAATTGCTATACCACGTAGTCTGTGGAACAATTGTTTAGTCAGGGTTTAAGAAAGCTGATTTCTAACACCCTCGTCAAAACCTCGACATTTACAATGACTGACCTGAGAAGTGAAAGACTATCTGCTTGCTTGTTTCAGTAGGCATTTTGGTGATTGTACTGGCTTTGTGTTTTGACACATTCAACCCATGCGGGCGTCTTTTGTGTCATGGTCCTCCGTGAGAATGTGGTTTTGCGCTTTGCTTGGAGAACCGGGAGACACGCGCTTAGGCGCGTTGTAACCTAACTACTGCAGTGTCTGCGGTTCTAGACGTTGGACGAGAAAGCCTGAGCTAAAGCAAGGATAGGCAATGAGGCTCCAAGGCGACCAGAGCAACAAGCCCAGGCTGGCCAGGGGCGCCCCTCCAGGCGCGATCGCGACGTCACTGCTGCGCGCCGCTTCCGGTCCCTAGCGCCGGAACGAAAGACTTCCCTCTCCGTGGGGCGGGAGCGGAGCTCGCCGGTACCCCCCTGCACCCACGATCGCGCCGCACGAGCTAGCGAGTCCCCGGGCACCAGTGTCCCACCCGCGCCCGAGACCATGGCCACCGACTCTTGGGCCCTGGCGGTGGACGAGCAGGAGGCGGCGGCCGAGTCGGTGAGTTGGCTTCAGCCGTAAAAAGGCCCGGGAGTCAGTGCGGGTCGGTGTCAGTTCCCGGTGACGGATACTCGCTAGGATGGCGAGGAGAGGGTGCGGGTGGGTACGGAAGTTGGACCCAGAGCTAGCTTTGTTTACCCGCCCGCCTCCGGATTACGATAGCGCAGGTGAGTGCTGCCCTGGATACAGTCAGAGCAGGAGTCAGGATTGATGCTAGATTGCTCTCATTTTCACTCCCCAGATTGTGATCACCTTTGTAGGTGTCATTCCCTACCTCAAATTTTGGCTCAGGGGCTAGGACTTATTCGTGTTTGTGCACTTTCCCAGCCTGCTCAGTGTTGATGAATGACCGACCACTCAGTAGACCTGCAGTCAGTAAAGCTGCACCTGAGACTCCTAACTTTATTCTGGACTAGACAGACAGTAAGCAAGATAGGTGTTAAATGTTACTGTGTAGAATTAATTACTGCTACCCAAACAGTCTTAAGTTTTGATAGTGCTTTGAATCTACTACTGTAAATTCTTCCAGAACAAGGACTTAAGTTTTATTTCTTATAACTGGTTACAAACATTGTACACGTATGGTTTTAAAGTGCAAATAGTTGTGTTTCCACAAGTTTTTCCTTCCCAGAGACACCTACTGTTTTTCTTCAAACTGATTTACACTTCTGACATCCTCATTCTCTAAATAGCATGCTACTTGTATTGCCTATTCCCTTTTAGTTATACATTAGGCTTTTTTTTTTAAGGTTTATTTATTTATACACACAGAACTGAGGTACAGGCCAGAAGTGCAGGGGAGTGAGAGGATTCACCAGAGACAGAGTGGAGAGCAGAACAGGCAGAATGACCAACAAGTACACTGCTGAGGGGAGACAGGAGACAGGAGAGGTTTGCTGCTGTGGGTCAGCTCCCTGGTGGGGATCCAACTTGTGCTGAGGCAGCTGCTGCTAGCCAGCTTCTTTGCAGTGCTGCAGTGCTGGCTTTAACCCGTTTAAACCCACCAGGGAGCACCCCTCAATTCCATTTTTCTCAAAGTCTTTTTTAGCCCGTTTCAAACTAGACTATTTGGCCTTTTATTTGAAGCATAATTCATTTTGTGTTCTGGAACAAAACATTTCCCTTCACTCTCATTACGGGGATTCCCTGTGTTGGTCTCCTCCTTTGTTCCCCCCTCTTCATTTTTCTTGATTTGGTAAAGCCATTCATCAGTTTTCTAGAGGTGCATGGGAAGTAACATTTTAAGATACTGCATTTCAAAAATTACCTTATTTTGTCCTATCATTTAGATGATAGTATGGTAGAATAGAGACTTGCAGGTTAGAAAGTATTTTGTAGTCAGATTTTAAAAGTGATATTCTATTGCCTTCTAGATTTCTGTATTTGTTGTTGAGATGTCTGAACCCTTCTGATTTCTAGTGTGAGTCATTTTTTCCTAACTGGAGAATCTTCTTTTTTTTTTGTCTCCAGTATTCAGAAAATTCACAATGATGTCACTTGGCATAGGTCTATTTTCATTCATTTTACAGGACACCCAGTGGGTCCTTTCAAATTGGAAAAATTCTTGTCCTTGAATTATGGGTAATTGTCTTGGAAGAAACCCCTTCTTGATTTCTTTCCTTTTGTTTTTTCTTCAGTCCTCCTTCCCAGAACTTAGTTGAATGTTGGATCTTTTGAACTCACCCTATTTTTTTTTTTAACTCAAGTTTCTTGAGGGGAAATTCACTCATATAAAAACTGTTAGTGCTACAGTTTTGTACATTTTGACAAAGGCACACAGTTTTGTACCTACCATTGCAATCAAGATGTAGAACATTTCCATCAACCCTAAAAAGTTTCCTCAGACTTTCTGTAGTCACTTCCTTCGCCCCATGGTTCTCTTGCAATCGCTGTTTTATTTTCTGTCAGTTTTATCTTTTCCAAATGGCATCATATAATAAGTAACCTTCTGAAAAATCTGACTTCTTTTACTCAGCATAGTGCATTTAAGATTCAATCTTGTTGTTTCATGCCTCAGTTTGTTCCTTTTTACTGTTGAATAGTAATCATTATGTGGATGTACCACTGTCTCTGGATTCATCTGTTGAGGAATACTTAGGTTTTTTCTAGTTTGGGACAGTTGTGAAATGTGTATCAGGATACACATTTTTTGTATGAATATGCTTGTATTTCTCTAAGGTAAATATCTAATAGTGGTAGTTGCTAGATTTAGTGTATGATTAACTTTATAAGTCATGTGCATACTGTTTTCCAAAAATGGCTGTATAATTTGTCTTCCCACCAGCAATGTAGGAGAGCTTTAGTGCTCCACATTTTCACCAGCAAAGTAGAGCCAGTTATTTTCTCCATTATATAATAGGTATATAGTGGTATCTCATTGTGGTCTTAATATACATTTCCGTCCTGACTGATGATGCTGAGAATTGTCTCATGTGCTTATCTACCATCCATATAACTTTCTTGGAATAACTTTTTTAGGAGAGTTCTTTATATATATATATATATATAATATACAGTTCCTTTATCAGAAATTCATTTTGCATATTTTTCCAGGCTTTTTATTTTCATAACAGTACTTTACGAAAAGCAGACATTTTCAATTTTGGTTAATTCTAGTTTATTGATTTTTTAAAGTATTTAGTTCTTTTTATGATCTCTAGGAAATACACCTTGAGTAAGGCCACAGAGCTTTCCATCTGTATATATATTCAGGTTGTTTGGTTTTTCCCCATACATGGAGCTGTAATTTTTTCCCCTCCTTTAAAATGTATGTATTTTTACATCTTTCTTACTTTTTGTACAATGTATGCTTTTTGTATGCTCACAGATGTAGTCCCCATGTAATCCCACTGCCAAGTCACTGGTGCCCCATCACCATAGTCCCTTGTGGTCTCCCCTCCCGTTTTGATCCCTTCCTCCCCTGTAGAGTATCTCTGATTCATAGTTGCCTGTTAATTTTGTTTTCTAATTTATTATAATAATTTTTTTTCCTGATCCCTTCTTTGGTTCCCCTACATTCCTCCTATAAGAGAAACCATTTGATATTTTTCTTTTTCATTCTGGCTTATTTCACTTAGCATAATCCCTTCTAGTTACATCCATGTTGCTGTAAATGGGATTTTTTGATTGCTCTCTCTCTCTCTCTCTCTCACACACACACACACACACACACTCGCATACACACACACACATCACATTTTTCTTGATCAGCTGCCTGTTTTTGGGCATTTGGGTTGTTTCCCTATCTTACCTAAATAGTGGAGCTATCATTTCTCTGCATCATTTGTTGAATAAAATCCTTTAACTTTCCCTTTTTGTAATATTTTCTGGCTTGGCCTTTTGCAGTATTTCCTGGGAGATTTTTCCAGCTATTTCCTAAAATGTCATTTTCTACAATTTTTTAATTTCAAGAATAGCTGCCCTCCTGTTTGTACCTTTTTTTTTTTTTAACAACATCCAATGCTGCTTTCATATCCTCTTATCATTTTGAGGCTACTGATAATGATTTTTGTTTTATTTTCCCCTCTACATAGGCTCTTTTTCCTGAAAGGCAATTTTTTTCTAGTTCAGTGTCTATTTGTGCATGATAAAAAATTGTCAGCTCTAATTGTCCACTGATACTTAGGAGTGGATGACTGAAAAAATTAAGTGGAAGCGGTAAGCTTATGCGAGTGGGGCTGGTCAACTATGATTTTAACTGTAACTCTTCAGTGACTGAGAAATTTCCTTCTAGACGAGGCAGACTTTGCAGAGGCATTATCAGAGTTCCTGCCTGGAAGGTGGAAGTCTGAGTCAATGTGCAGGGATCTGAGTGGGAGACTTCCAGAAGGGCAGAGGCCTCAGCACGCTAGACACGCTTCACTTAATGCTTCCATTCCATTATGTACCCTCCCTACCGTGGTGTTTCTCATGCCTAGCCTAGCAGGCAGTGTTAGTTGACTTGTATCTATTAAATGAACTTTGCCTGTTTTCCGTCACTTGACTCTGTCATAGAGGGATTTTTGGACATTTACACTCTGTATATAACTATTTAGATATTGCATACTGTATTATTTTACAAAATATGGCATTATGTAGCATACACAAAAGTTAATAAGGCTGAGAGAAAGATGAAATAAATCATGTTTTAAAATATTTTCCTGTGCTGATTTCACACTTTCATTAGTTAATCTCTTAAATTACAATATAAACTGGGGGTTTATATATCATATCTTAGCCATTATAGGTGTAAATATATATTTCGAGTAGTTTATTTATTTTTTAAAGCTATTTATTTATACATACAGAACTGGGGTACAGGCCAGAGGTGTGGAGGGTGAGAGGATTCACCTGAGACAGAGTGGGAAGCAGAACAGGCAGATGTACTGGAATATACTGCTGAGGGGAATAGTGGGCAGGCCAAAAGAGGTCTGCCACCCCGTGTGGGTCATCCCCCGGGGCCGGGGATCAAACTCATGCTGCAGTGGCTGTGATGATTTCATAGTGCTGTGCTTTTAACCTGTTGTGCCACCAGGGAGGGTCCTCAAGAAGCTTTTAAAAAAGACTTATTTGTGCATACAAGAACTGTGGTATAGGCCAGAGGTGTAGGGTTGGGGGGTTGGTGAGAGGTCAACCAGAGACAGAATGGGGAACAGAATAGGTGGGCTTACTGAAATAATCTGCTGAGCAGCAGACAGGACAGGAGAGGTCTGCTGTGCCCTGTGGGTTAATTCCCTGGTAGAAGATCAAACTTCTGTTGCAGTAGCTGCAGATAGCTTCATAGTACTGAGACTTAACTCTTTGTGCACCAGGAAGGCCACTCATTTTCTTTTTTGCTCAAGTTTGCACTGTTAGAATTTAAGATAGGTCAGGTTTGTGTGGTTACCATGAACTGTGAAGTTCACACAGTGATAAAATTGCCTAGCAACATATTTCTTATTCTTGTTGTTAAATAACATGACTGTACATGGTAACTATGTAACTTTTGAGGAGCTGCTAGACTATATTGCAAAGAGACTGTATTCCAAAGAGACTTTACCATTGTGTCATCTTTAAATTAGTATTTTCTTCAAGATTAGCATTATCTGTGGGAGACACTACTGTGTAGAGGTTAAGGCCTCAAGACTGTAGCCAGACAGACCTGGGTTTGTATTCTGGGTCCATCAATTACTGGTTATGTGATCTTAGGCAAACTGCTTAACTTTTTTGTGTCTCAGTCTCCACATATGTAAAATGAGGATAACCATAGCACCTACCTAATTGTGCTATGAATATGCCCGATATAGGTGCTATGTAATTGATAACTACTACTATTATCATTATCTAAAACTCACATTTTTTTTCAGCAATCTTTTAAATTATGTGGCAATATTTTGTGGACTAGTTATTTGAACCTGGAGAAGATTTGTGAATCTTAATACTTAAACATGCATCAGTAAATAACTGATGCAAGTATCTCTACTGAACAAGTGAAAAAAGAAACCTCCTACACCTCTACTTTGTGGAAGTTCCACTGAAGATCCCCATAGGCACTGTATGATATGTGACCATGATAGGTACAGTGCAAGCTGAGTGTGTTTTAAAATATTAAGCTTCATTCCTTATTCAAGAAAATAATAGGAGCTATTTATTTCATCATTCCCCTTATGCATACAAGAACCAGGCTACAGGCCAGAGGTGCGGGAGGTGAGAGGACTCACCAGAGACAGAATAGCAAGCAGAACAGGCAGATTAACTGAAATACACCACTGAGAGGAGCAGCAGGTGGGTCAGGAGAGGTCTGCTGTGCCATGTGGGTCACCTCCCTGGCTGGGGATTGTGCTGCAGTGGCTGCAGAGAGCATCATCATGCTGAGACTTAACCCCTTTCGCCACTGGGGATTGTCCACCAGTGGTTCCTATTTATTCCATCAGAAACTTGTTTTCAATTTAGAAGAGGGCAAAGGGATTATCACACTGATGAATAAAATTTTAAATCTAATTTGCCATTTTGCCTAAGACAGTTCCTATTCAGTACAGGTTACCAGTATTTTTTGTTTCTCAAGAATCTTTTAAGTAGCTTTTTTAAAGATGTATTTTTTTATTTATGCATACAAGACCTGGGGAATAGGCCTGAGGTGTGGGGGGTGAGAGGATTCACCAGAGACAGAAGGGGGAGCAGAACAGGCAGATCCACTGGAAAACGCTGCTGAGAGGAGCAGCAGGCAAGATAGGAGATGTCTGCTGTGCCATGTGGGTCAGCTCCCTGGCTGGGGATTGAACTTGTGCTGTCAGCTTCTTAATGCTGAGACTTAACCCCTTGTACCATCAGGGAGGCCCTTAAGTAGCGTGTGAATAAAATACAATGTCTAACTGTAGTTTCCAATTTTAACTTATCTTAAAAATTAAACTGTTAGGCCCTCCCTGGTGGCACAGCTGGTTAAAGCACAGCACTGAGAATCTAAAGCCACTTCCGCAAGAGTTCAATTCCCGCCTCCCCCGGAGGTGACCACATGGCGTGGCAGACCTCTCCTGGCCCGCCCACTGCTCCCCTCAGCAGTGTACTTCGTCGATCTGCCTGTTCTGTTCCCCACTCTGTCTCTGGTGAAGCCTCTCACCGCCACTGAGCCTCTGGCCTGTACCCCAGTACTGTATGCACAAATAAATAAATCTTTTTTTAAAAAAAAAAAAACTAAACTGTTAATTAAAGTTGTTGAAAATGTGAGTATTATAAAGCAAGTGGTTTACTGCCTTTTGGTTAACGTTCTACATTCAAAATGATATTAATGAAACTGCAAGAGAAATTGATTTCCCCTTTTTGGTCCAAATAAATACACCAAAAGCAAATATCTGAACCACCTGTACTTGAACATAAGTTTCTGTTGACAAACAACGCAGCAGATAATATAAACACACTTCATTTTGCTGTTGCTTTTTGCCTTACAGGCTCTGAGATCCTCATAACCAAGTGACAGCTTGAGTGTATTTTTAAGATTTTGCTAGAACTTGTCCAGAATTCTGATACATCGTAATCAAAGCAACATCTATTGTGTCATTTATATTCGTGCTACCAACTTTTCCCACACATTGCATTTTTAGTTATTTTTAACTATTACTTTTTTTTTTTTAAAGATTTATTTATTTATTCATACAGAACTGGGGTACAGGCCAGAGATACAGAGGGTGAGAGGATTCACCAGAGACAGAGTGGGGAGCAGAACAGGCAGATCGACGAAGTACACTGCTGAGGGGAGCAGCGGGAGGGTCAGGAGAGGTCTGCCACGCCATGTGGTCACCTCCGGGGCAGGCGGGAATCGAACTCATGCGGAAGCAGCTTTAGATTCTCAGTGCTGTGCTTTAACCCGCTGCGCCACCAGGGAGGGCCACTATTACTTTTTTTTTAAGATTTATTTTTATTTAATTATGCACATAAGAACTAGGGTATAGGCTTCACTCCCCAGTGACAGAGTGGGAAGCAAAACAGGTGGATCCACTGTAATAAATGCTAAGGGGAGCAGCAGGCAAGACAGGAGAGGTCTGCTTTACCATGTAGGTCACCTCCCTGGCTAGGAATGGAACTCTTGCCTCAGCAGTTGGCTATAACTTCATACCACTCAGGCTATAATCCCTGTGCCTCCAGGGAGGCCCCTTAACTACTACTACTTCTTACTGTTAAATTTGAACAATATATCAACAAAAGAATGGTTTGTTTTAGTGGATATTAACATGCTATATACAGTAATGGGTGTTTCTAACACAGTTATATTTCACTAACACCAAAATAAGGTAGCATTTTTTATCCTAGGAGTGAGTTCTATGTTCTTATTCTTGTAAATAGTGTCAATAAGTCAGGCAGTCTTTTTAACAGCTCTGACTGCTAGACTACACTAGGCTCACTGGCAGGACTTGGAGAGGAATGCTTTAGTGAAGACTGAAATGCACTGAACACCTATGGTATCTATCATGCACTGTGCTTGTTGCTTCATAGTCATCTGGTATTATCTTCAGAGTTAATAAAGGATTTTTGCAAGTTTATAAGGGTTTTCTTTTCTTGCCAATTTGCTCTCTTGCCTGTCTCCAATGTACTATCCCTTACTTGTCCCTTCCCCCAGACTGAAACTGCCAAAAACAATAAACTACCTTTTCAGTTTTCATCAATAGGTGTGAAGTTCCTTCACTCCCAGCTAACTCTGGCCTGTACTCCAGTTCTTGTGTGCATACATTAATAAGTCTTTCAAAAAAAACAAAAAAACCAACACCCATTAAAACAGCTTTTTCATTCTGCCTTTTTTCTTCCCCCTTCTCAAACTTAGTGGAAATACAGAAATGAACCTCAAGACCAAAAGCATCTGTGAAGGTGTTGCTTTAAGAAACAACAGTTGGAGGGCCAACCCTGATGGCACAAGGGGGTAAAATACAATACTATGAAACTACCCATAGCCACAAGTTTGATCCCGGCCAGGGAGCTGACCCACATGGTGCAGCAGATCTCTCCTGTCTCGCCTGCTGCTCCCTTCAGCAGTATTTCAGTCAATCTGCCTATTCTGTTCCTCTGTCTCTGGTGAATCCTCTCACCTCCTGCACCTCCGGCCTTTACCCCAGTTCGGTATGCATAAAAGATTTATGCATAACAGATTTATGCATAACAGCCAGATTAACAAACTTACACTGCTGAGGGGAGCAGTGGGCGAGTCAAGAGAGGTCTGCTGTGCCATGTGGGTCACCTCCCTGAGCAGGGATCGAATTCACGCTGAAGTGGCTCTGACTAGCTTCACAGTGCTGTGCTTTAACCCACTGCGCTATCAGGGAGGATCCCACAGTTGGACTTTATTTTATTTTTTAAAATTTATTTATACATACAGAACTAGGGTACAGGCCAGAGGTGCAGGAGCGGTGAGAGGATTCAGCAGAGACATAGTGGGGAGCAGAACAGGCCGAATGATGAAGTACACTGCTGAGGGGAGCAGCGGGCTGGTCAGGAGAGGTCTGCCAGGCCATGTGGTTCAACTCCGGGCACCAAACTTTTAGTTTCTCAATGCTGTGCTTTAACCTGATGTGCCACCAGGGAGGGTCATGGATTTTAATTTCTTTACCCTTCACCAGATGATAAAATTAAAATATATATCCTATCTTTTAAGATCTTTTCCCCAACTTTATCAAGATAAAGTTGACAAAGAAAAGGGTGTTTTAATTCGGAGAGATAAGTCTTGCCAGGATACCCCTGGCAAGAGTTTTTGATCAGAGTTCTGCTTACTTATTTGAAGTATCTCTGTGTTCCTTCCTTTCTGCTCCCACTATTGCCTGCAGGTATTTATCACATAGTTTGCTGTAGTGCCCCAGACTGTTCCCAGTTTAAAATATCAGGCATCAGCTCCAGCAAACCTGAGTACAAGGCTGCTATGGTCCTGTGGCTCACCCACGTCCTGCAACAGAACATTCCTGCACACAGACACTCTCCATTGCAGTCCTCTCACCGTCATGTTCTGCCGCAGTATCACTGCATTTTACACTGTCTCTTTAAATTTCCTCTTGTTTGGAATACGGGAGAATGACAACTTAAGTGGTGTTCTACTGAGTGTCTTTGTAAGCAAGGCATTAATAAGCAAACTCACGAATTACAATTCTCTCGAGCTGTGTAATTGTTTTTTTCCTTTTGCTCTTTATGGGAAATTTTTCTTATTCTCAAACATGTAAATAAACCAAGGACAGCAGACCCATCTAAAGAATAAGTTCTGTTGACTAGAACTAATGAGTATGTCTTGAGAGTGGAACAGTTCTCCCCAGAATCACTGGGGAGGCTCTGTTGATTCAGAATCTTTTAAATAATTTTCCTGACACTTTGCCCCTCCTCCCCATATTCTCCATAGTTGAGCAACTTGCATCTTAAGGAAGAGAAAATCAAACCAGATGCCAATGGTGAGTAACTAAATGCTAACTTGAAAACAAATGTGATTTCCTTTAGTATTTCTATCTTAACCTAGTAACTGTCAGAGAAAAAAACATATATCAGACAGGGGGCTGACAGATACCAGCTGTCATTTGACTTGGTAGTTAACCAACTGGATTGTTTTTGTTTTATATTGCTCTTAATATAAACATGAGGATGTCTAGTTGGCTTATAAATTCTTCAATTTATTATTAGCCATAAGAACATGCTGCCAAGATTTTTTACTTTTTCAAATACCACTCATTTGAGATGAGATACAGATACATGAATAACCTGAGAGCTAACCTAATTATTCTGAAACCATGTCTGCCAAAAGCTAAGGTTTTCATTAAATTTTTGTTGACGTGCTTATTATTATAGAGAAATGCTAAGTAAAATAAGTCACAGGAAGACAAATTTGGAGTGGTGTTACTTATATGTGGGATATAGAGAAACAAAGAGTTAGATAAAACCAAAGTAATAACATACCCTAGATACCTGATCACAGAATTGGAAAGGTACAAAGGGGGAAGAGGGCAAAATAGGACCATGGCGCAGGACTCTGGGCGCAGTGGTGGAAGTGTGGTATGATGACATAAATCTGAAGGCTGACCTCTAACACCTCTAACGCATTTACAGTGTCATCAATGTTAAATCAATAAAAAAAAATTAAAGAAAGTTATTATAGGGAGAAATTGCAATATTTACCTCACTCTGGATTCACTTACTATCTTTTTCTGGATATTTTTACATCACTATAGTGTTTGAATGTACATTTCTATTAACAATTCATATGCATAAAATCTCAATGTCATTATGTTCATGCATTGATTAAATATAATTTGCATAAATATTCCTCTGTTGAACATGAAGATGGTTTCTAATCAGTGACTGCTATAATCATTTTTCTATAACATTGTAGAAATTATGTCACCCAGTGACAGAAATTAGCATTCATTTTTTGATGTACAGTAGATTTTAAGTAGGAAAGGATTGAAATATAAACAATGGTGTTTCAGAATATCTTTGTTTATTTAGGAAGTGTTAAATGCTTTTTATCTGTGGCTTGGTCACCTCTTTTTTTTTTTTTTTTGCTCCTCAGGCCTTTACATTTCTAGTGTCTCATAGAATTTGAATTGTCTCAGCTATTGGGTATGGGATATGATATTGAATGATGGCCACTTTGTGTCTGATAAAGGTGCTGTTGTCAAGACCAATGCTAGTACAGAGAAGACAGATGAAGAAGAGAAAGGTAATCCAACTTTAGAGCTTTATACACAACATTATACATTCAGGGAAAAGGGATTGTTAAAGACTTCATTTTTATCCCCACTGTTAATGGGAGTCACCGTGGTTTAGTAACAGTTCAATAGAAATTTTACTTTAAACAACTGATGACGGCCTCCCTAATGGCCTAGGGGTTAAGTCTTAGCGCCATGGCACCACTACAGTCTGCGTTCAATACCTCACCAGGGAGGTGACCCACATATACTGCAGCAGCCCACTCCTGTCTCACCCACTGCTCCCCTTAGCAGTTTATCTCTGTAAATCTGCCTGTTCTGTTCCCCACCCTTTCTGTGTTGAGTCCTCTCCCCTACTCCCCAACCCCCTGTAACTCTAGCCCACACCACGGTTCTTGTATGAAAAAGAAAAAGAAAAAAAACAAAACTGATGAACTTTACAGGAACATGAAATATATTCCCTGAATGGTTATTTTGTATGGGGCATTGTCAAAGAAATTTTACATTGTATTTTGTCTAAAAAAATTAAACATAGTATTTTAAGAGAGATAAAAAGATATAAACAGCTTATACTATATCAAGATACAGACTTTGTTAATTTCTGTTGCTTTCATTGTAATTTGCTAAGCTAAAATAATAGTAAATATTCACACACTGAGTGCAATTTGGGGAGTAAAATTTTGGGTCAAGGTAAAAGGTAGATAACCTCAGGAAAAGAGGCTTCATAGAACAGAGTTCTGGATTATGATATGCATATTATTACCTTTCTTTTTAATAGTTTAAATATTTTAATAATCTTAAATAAATCTTAATATTTCTAAATCAAAACTTTGATGCCCAGTACAAATGCATGGTATTGCCTAAAATCCCAGGTGTGATTAAATTCAGATGTGCTAAGATGAATTTCAGAGACTTTTAAAAATCTTTGCTTTTTTTTCCTGCCAGAGGACAGAGCCGCCCAGTCCTTACTCAACAAGCTGATCAGAAGCAACCTCGTCGATAACACAAACCAGGTGGAAGTCCTGCAGCGGGACCCAAACTCCCCCCTCTACTCAGTGAAGTCCTTTGAGGAGCTTCGGCTGTGAGTATTATATTATTTTCTGTAGGCCCTCCCTGGTGGCAAAATGGGTTAAGGCACAGCGCTATGAAGCTGGCTGCAGCTGCTTCAGTGTGAGTTCTATCCCCCACCAGGGAGCTGACCCACATGGCCCAGCAGACCTCTCCTGTCTCGCCTGCTGCTTCCCTCAGCAGAGTACTTCGTTGATATGCCTGTTCTGCTCCCCACTCTGTCTCTGGTGAATCCTCTTAACCACTCCTGCACCTCTGGCCTGTACTCCAGCTCTGCGTACATAAATAATCTTTAAAAAAATGTATTTTCTGCTTTCCCTTTTGTGTTTAATAGTCTTGTTGTATATAATTTTTTTCATCACAGCAGTGCATTTTTAGTTCAACACAAGTTTAGTGAAGAATTTAGCTGCTTTGAACTGTTAAGTAAAATCTCCAGGTCACTTATAAAAATGATTTTTTTTAAATAAATGGCTTTATAAATGGTTTAGCACAATTCAAGTATTATTATTACTTTGTTAAGTCTGTAACAGCAATAAAAAAGAGAAAAAAATCTCTTAAATATTTGATTTTTTCCTCAAGAGTGTGACTTCATCTGTTGACTGTTCTAGGAAACCACAGCTTCTCCAGGGAGTCTACGCCATGGGCTTCAACCGTCCATCCAAGATACAAGAGAACGCCTTGCCTTTGATGCTCGCTGAGCCGTATGTGTCCTGATATGACCCTACCCCGTTTTTATTTTTCTATTTCTTTGACTTTTATTATTTAAAAGAAAAACTGTATTAAAAAAACTATACTAGTAATATATGCTCATTTTATAAGTTAGACAATAATGAAAAATAAAAAATCTCAGTCACACTATTTGTATTTGAGATACTGACTTTTAATATTTTAAAAAATTTTTGCAAAGAACTGGGATATAGGTCAGAGGTGCTTGGCAGCAGGGGTTCAGGGGAGTAAGGGATTCACCAGAGACAGAGTGGGGAGCAGAACAGGCTGACTGACTGAAGCACACTGCTGAGGGGTGCAGCGGGTAGGTTGGGAAAGGTCTGCCACACTAGGGTCATCTCCCTAGCCGGGAATCAAACTTGTGCTGCAGTGGCTGTGGATAGCTTCATACTGCTGTGCTTAACCTGATGTGCCACCAGGGAGGGCCCATAAATAAATAAATCTTTAAAATAAAATGTCATACAATTGCAGTAGGGCTGAGCTGGGAACTGAGGTTCACCTTTTTTTTTTTAAGATTTATTCTTTTTATTTATTCCCTGGCTGGGGATCAAACTCATGTTGCAGTGCCTGCAGATAGTTTCATAGTGCTGAGACTTAACCCCTTGTGCCACCAAGGAGGCCCACAGACTGCAACTTTAAATCCAGTGGTTAGGGGAGGATCTTGCTGAGTGGTGGTACATGTAAAGGCATGAAGGAGGGAGAGTTGGCATGTGTCACCTGGATTAACTGTCCCAGGCAGAGAAATGTCAGTGTAGATGCCCTCCAAAAGGGGCATGGCTGGCATCTTTCAGAGCAGCACTCCAAAAGTGTCGTATAGGGGGCAGAGTGTAGTAAGGGAGAGGGTAGTAACTAGAGATGAAAACAGAAAGTAATAAGGAAACAAATCAGTTAGAACCTTGTAGGCCAGTTAGAAGGCTTTTAACTTCTTCTTTGAAGTATAGGGAGTGATTACAAGATTTCTGAGCAGAGAAGTGACAGGAGCTGACACATTTCAACTGTGATACACGATCATTGACTGTTCTATATTTGTGATGCTAGCATTTGTGACTGCTACAGAATTCAAGTCCTCCTGTAAATTATTTCTGAATACTCATTCTTTAAGCTTTACTACATTTCTATCAAGTGGAAGGATACTGGAGACTTAAGTTCAGTTTGTTTTCTTGTACAGCCCACAGAACCTGATAGCCCAGTCTCAGTCTGGCACTGGTAAAACAGCTGCCTTTGTCCTGGCCATGCTTAGTCAAGTAGAACCTGCAAACAGATACCCCCAGGTAAGAGTATGGTGAATATGGGTTCTCTGTTAACAGATGACTAGAAGGGAAAATCCCATTTGCTAAGTGGAGTAATAAATCCATTTGAAGACTTAAAAGGGAAAATATTACTTTTTACATAAACTATAACCCCTCACATTCAGTACAAATGACACAGTTGATTTCCCACAGGCAACAAAAATTTTGTTCCCCTTTCTATGGCTTGCCAGTTCAAGTTTGGCTCCTTTACCTGAAGAAAGAACCTCCCATCTACAACTATGAATCTAATGGATGCATTAGAGTTCTAAGAACTTTGAGTAAGTGAAAAGGAAGCTAATCTCCAATCAGAATTTCAGATTCTTGCTCCTATGTGGGTTTGGAACTCTAGTGACTAATTCAAGTATCTTTATCCAGAGTTCTGATGACCTAAGAATTAAAGTTTATGTGCTGGAATTTAAAGAATCAAGCAGTGTGCACTTTAATGTAAGTTCTCCCTCACAAAAGAAGTAACTGTGTTTCACTCTCCTTCTGCGCTCTTTCCGCACAGTGTCTGTGCCTCTCCCCAACCTATGAGCTCGCCCTTCAGACAGGAAAAGTGATTGAGCAGATGGGCAAATTTTATCCTGAATTGAAGCTAGCTTATGCTGTTCGAGGAAATAAATGTGAGTATGAATAGGATTCCCAATACATTAAACTACTTTTTATCTTGAAAAATTTCAGGAAATGTGCAGTAAATACAGTGAATGCATTCCCTCCAGCATGATTTACAACCTTAATATTTAATCCCCATACTTCATCTATATGCGTTTGTAAATATTTTTTCTTTTATTAAGTTATTAAAAGTAGTCCCTGCCTGGTGGCAGAGTGGGTTAAAGTGCAGCACTGTGAAGCTGTCCCCAGCCATTGCAGCATGGGTTCAAGCCCCGGCCAGGGAGATCCACACAGCGTGGCACTCCTGCCACTGCTCCCCACAGCAGTGTATTTCAATAGGTCTGCCTATTCTTCTCTCCACTGTCTCTAATGAATCCTCTCACTGCTCTTGCACCTCTGGCCTACACCCCAGTTCTTGTATGCATTAAATAAATGAATCTTTTTTAAAAAATTAAAAGTAAACGAACACTATGAAATCCCTCTCCCTTTGCTCACTCTCTTCATCCACTTCTCTAGTAACCTTGGTTTTATTGTCAAAGTCTACTAGTAATTGTGTGTTCATTTGCTGCTACTTTATACTTCACCTACAGGTGAATTCTTCTGATGTTTGTCTTTCTCTGGACTTATTTCCCTTAGTACAATCATCCTGTATTCCTTCCATTTTGTTGCAAGTTGCAAAATTTTATCTTTTTTTTTTTTTTTAGATTTAGTTTTATATGTGTATAAGAACTGGGGTATAAACCAGAGTTGGGGTGAGAGGATTTACCAGAGAGTGGGGAGAACAGCAGGCAGATGTACAGGAATACACTGTTGAGGGGAGACAGGAGAGTTCTGCTGCACCATGTAGGTCACTTCCCTGCATGGGGATCGAACTTATGCTGCAGTGGCTACAGACAGCTTCAAAGTGCTCTGCTTAACCCCTTATACCAGTAAGGAAAGCCCAGAGTTTTACCTTCATTACAGCTGAGTAGTATTCCATTGTATGTTTATTTTTTGGTGATCATTTGAAAGTTAAATTGCAGATATTATTGCTTTTTATTCCTAAATACTTTAGTGTGTATCTCATAGTAATTTTCAGCATTACTTACAATAACTTTATCGAAACCAAGAATTAACAATTTCTAAAACTTAAATATCTACTTCATTTTAATTTTCCCCTAGTTGTTCCAAAAAGGTTTCTCTGTATCAATTTCAAACCAGATTGAGTCAGCTTTTGTGCATTGCTTTTGATTACTGTATCTCTTTAAAGTTCTTTCAATGTAGAAGTCTCCTTCCTTTCCCCCATTAGACTTTTTGAGCAAACCACACTAATGTATAAGATGTGTCACAGTCTCATTTTGTTTAATTGCTATTTTTAAAAAAAAGGTCATCAGAACCACAAGTATGTTCATGACAATTAAGGGGACCTTCTTTTATTCTTTTATCTCTATTGATATTTTCCACTTTTATAATGAAATAATATTTGAGTAATTTTAAAAATTTGGTCAAGTCCTTTAACACAGACTCTGCATACAATGTCCTAAAGCCAACATGATGTAAATTATGAAGAAACAAGTACATATGATGATGAAACTTAAAGCACTTAATATTTGCTATTTGGATTGGAGTTAGAATGACAGAGGATTCAGAATAATTTATTTAAGTGATTTATTTAACTAAAGTAAGGAGGCTTTGTTAAATTTTAAATGGACTAAATATTTACAGTTGGGTACGATTTGGTTATGACTAGAGGAAGCTTGTTATGTGTCAAAGTTGTAATTAAAGGATTGATAGTGGAGTCAATAACTACAATCTATTGGAAAAATTAGGCACCAAGTTCTCCCCAGATACAGACTGCACAGGACAACAATGCGCCGTGCCCAGCTGGCCAGTGAAGGGATTTACCCCTGAGGCAGCTTCCATTTTTCAGAAAACCTGGCCTTTCCTAAAATATCTACTTTCTGACCTGGGAAAGTTAGATGAAAAGAATTGATCTGTTTGGTATACATGCTGTTTTACCTGAGGGGCTTGGTGTGCTGGAGAGTGAACTTTGAAAGTCTCTTTTTGAGGAAATCTGGGACTGGGTGAAGGATGTTGAAAAGCAATCTAATAATTATAGAATTACAAGGAATGACACTATGTGAGTTTTATCTTCTCATTTTTCTATCTCTGCTTTTCAGAATTATTGTCTCTGTCCATTAAATTATATTTTCCTTAAAATACTTATTCAAAACAATTGCATTAAATACATCAGAAAATTGACTTTGCCATGGAATACCCACAGAAAAAACTTGTCTCCACAGTGGAAAGAGGTCAGAAGATCAGTGAGCAGATTGTCATTGGCACCCCTGGGACTGTCTTGGACTGGTGCTCCAAGCTCAAGTTCATTGACCCCAAGAAGATCAAGGTGTTTGTTCTGGATGAGGCTGACGTGATGATTGCTACCCAGGGCCACCAAGACCAGAGCATCCGCATCCAGAGGTAGGAACTCTTCAGCCAGAAAGGGCTTCTCAGCCTCCTGATGGCACACAGAGCTCTGTCCCGAGTCTCTTCCTGCTACACCCAGCTCCCCCCGCTCTCCGGCTGGTTCAGTCCCCCTGAGGCTTCAGAAGCATTTGTTCGGTGGGCTGGCTTGAGGAAGCAGACAGGGAATCCACACCCCCGTCCCCTGTGCCCATCTGCTCCTCCCCAGCCCCTGCAGTGTTTTTGTCCCCCACTTTGCCACCTCCCTGGGATGCCTACCGTCCACTCCCGGGGGGTGAGGGTGGGGGGCTGTGCCTCTGCACCTTCCACAGAAAACTGAGGGTCACGTCCCCTACGCGGGCTTCTCTTGCAGGATGTTGCCCCAGAACTGCCAGATGCTGCTTTTCTCTGCCACCTTTGAAGACTCTGTGTGGAAATTTGCCCAGAAAGTAGTCCCAGAACCAAACATCATCAAACTGAAGCGCGAGGAAGAGACGTTGGACACCATCAAGCAGTACTACGTCCTGTGCAATAACAGAGACGAGAAGTTCCAGGCCCTGTGTAACCTGTACGGGGCCATCACCATCGCTCAAGCCATGATCTTCTGCCACGTGAGTAGAGCAGCAGCTGAGGCCTGTGGGGGTTGGTCATCCCGCCACGCCTCTCAACCAGCTCCCCGCAGAGCTGAGCAAGACAGGTGCCCTCTGTGTGGCACAGAGGAAATGGGGGATCACCTGCACCTACCCCAGGCATATGCTCCCCAGCTGTGTTAGCCGGAAGAACCCAGTCTCCTTTGTCCCACTTCTTAGACACACTGGGAGAAACTTCAGATAGAGCCAGTGAAAAGTGGCCAAGATGCCGCTTGAGAAGTGACAGGCCTCCCCTGGGGACTGCAGTCAGTGGGGGCTTCCATACTTCTTAATGGCGACAAGCCGCGTTTGTGCAGGTGTCTTCATCTAAAGCAGTTCTTTTCACACCAGACCCGCAAAACAGCTAGTTGGCTGGCAGCAGAGCTCTCAAAAGAAGGCCACCAGGTGGCTCTGCTGAGCGGTGAAATGATGGTGGAGCAGAGGGCTGCGGTGATCGAGCGCTTCCGGGAGGGCAAGGAGAAGGTTCTGGTGACCACCAACGTGTGTGCCCGAGGTGAACACTGTGTCCTCGCCTGCTGGGCTGTGGGGAGGGGGGCAGTCTCCTGCACCAGGACTCCGGTGCTTTGGGTCGATGGGGTGGGGTGGGTGGGGAGCCTCTTCTTCAGGACAGACTGGCCCCTTCAGCAGGTGGTAAGTCCCCCACCCCCAGGCCAGGGCTCTTGACCTGCTGGATGGAAGCCCTGGGCTCCTGGCAGGTTGAGAGTGGCGCTTGGCCTGGCTGGGACATCCGGTGAGGTTTGAGCCGCCTCTCCAGATGGCTGTATCTAGCAGAGGCTCTCTCCCTGATTTTGATGGCATTTTCCAAAGTTGTACTTTTTCCTTTGGGTCCTGCTAGCCAACTTGTCCCCAGATCCCAGAGCTGACCCATCCCAGGCTCAAAGCAGGCCCGGTGGTCTGGCCGTGGCGGCTGTGACTCTCTTTGCCTTGCTCACTCCCACAACTCCCCTTCCCGCAGGAATCGACGTGGAGCAGGTGTCTGTCGTCATCAACTTTGACCTCCCCGTGGACAAGGATGGCAACCCGGACAACGAGACCTACCTGCACCGGATCGGGCGCACTGGCCGCTTTGGCAAGAGGGGCCTGGCCGTGAACATGGTGGACAGCAAGCACAGCATGAACATCCTGAACAGAATCCAGGAGCATTTCAGTGAGTCCCTTTCCGCACAGGGGCTGTCCAGCTGGGTGGGCAGAAGGGCGGGTTTTCCTGTGGCTTTTCCTGAGGGAGCCTTTGTCCCTGCCCACGTTCCCCTCTGCCACTAGAATGTGGGGGGCCTCCTGGAGCACTGGAGAGTTCGGGGCCAGGCCTGGAAAGACAGTTCCGCCCGGGCCAGCAGCCCTGACCGGCCCGGGCTCTGCAGCCGTGGGCTAAGTGAAGGCTGGCGGGGGCCACAGACCTGTGTGTCCTCTGCCTGCCTTGCTGCCCCTTCCCTAGGCCAGCGTCTCCTCAGTAAGCGCGTGCTGATCTCTCTCTGAACGTTTTTTCCTCAGATAAGAAAATAGAAAGATTGGACACGGATGACTTGGACGAGATTGAGAAAATAGCCAACTGAGACTCCCCACTGATTGATTGCTGGTGCCCGCCCGTGATGCCCCCTGCACGGGACACTCGTGCTTTCATGGCGCAGGCCTGGACAGTCACCACAAAGATGAAGGCACGAGTAGAGAGAAACTACCTACCTCACTTAAATTACGTTTGGACTTGACAAAAATTGTGCAAATGATGGGGGAAGGTAGAAAAAACAATGTTTACACAACTTTGAAGATTAGGCATGAATACACAGAAATTTACCTTTTGGAAATCCGTCGTTTTTTTGGCCAGCATTTTCCCCAGCTGTACGCTAATCTAAATCTTTGGCTAATCACTTGCTCAGGATCCTTGGTGGCAGCACATCTCTTGCTGAAAGTGTTTGGATATACCTCCTGCTCTGTGGACGTGACAGAATAGATGTGAAATGGGCACAGCTAGAAAGGGAGGCCCTATAAACGGTATATGATCCTCCCATCATGGCTGGGAGATGGCCGGAGGCCTGTGAGCTTCTTGCTGAGACAGGGTGGCTGGATGGCGTGTTTCCAGCCCTTTGTCCTGATGTCACAGCAGGAAGGGATGTGCTGGGCATGGCCCCGAATGCCAACCTGGAACCTTTGGTGTCTGCAGGTTTTTGTTGTCAGACAATGACCTGTTCTTAGCAGCACGGGGGTTCCCTGTTTGTGCTTGAGCAAGTCCTGTGGAGAAGTCATCACTGAAAATTAGTGGTGGGCTTAGTTTGCCCCAAAACGGGGTGTGACAAGCACTTGCAGCACTTTTTCACCTTCCTGGTATTATCCTGACCCCTTAGGAGTCCCAGACAAATTAAAGATAATCTGATGTTTGGATCTTTGTGAAAACTGTATTTCAAATCTATGACCAGCCTCAAGGCAGCTCCAGAAGTAATCAGCAGTGGTCAAAAACCCTTACTTTGTCTCCATATCCCAGAAGGCAAGTTTTGATAGAGCTGGGGAGCAAACCAGATAGTTGCCATCTTGATGTAAAGGGATTCTGAACGTCTGTGTTCACAGTTCATGGAGTCCAAACAGGTGCAACTAAGGGACTAGGTGGACTCAGCTATTCATCCGTCCATGGCAAGAGTTACTGCCAAAGCCTTTGCTACATCCTGGTGCAGAATAGTCAGAGCAAATAATAATGGACATTTCCTCATACCTGACCAAGGCCATTGGTGCCCACAGTATGACAGAGCAAAGATGTGATGAAACTAAATTGCAAGAGCCGAAAGGAATCCTCCTCAGCTCTTGGACCATGCTCCAGAACAGCCACATTTTCTAGGACCAAGCCTGGAAGAGGCATTTCCTGGGATAAGGACTGTTCCCAATCTCAGACTTTCTTACAGGCATTTCTGTATTTTAGGGCCAAATCTGCTGTCATGGTGACTGCAGTGAGACCAACAGACTGCCACTCTTGCTACATTCCTCCAGGGGGTGCTTGCTGTATAGAATCTTCTCTATGCTTCTGACCAATCAATCCTGACCCATATTGAGAGTCTTTTAAGAAGAGAAGAAATGTTATGCTGCCACAAGGTCCTGTGGACCAATTCTGAAGTAACTAAAAACAAGGGCAATAATTAAAGGAGCAGAGACTCCTCACAAGGCTTCAGTTGACTGTACCCCCACCTTCTAACACATATAACCTATCTATTGAGTAGCCCTAAACCTGGGTAACAGTAAATGGAGGTCTGATAACAACTAGTATAACAGTTCTTAACCTGGGGGCTGTTCCTCTAAGAATTCACTGGATGGTTTTTATGGCGTCTCTAAAGTGGATGTAGTGTTTTGAGTAAATATATTTTCTTGGAGAGAGACTCCAAGAGGAGTAGTATGTGTCCTTTGAAAAGGTGAGACTGTCACAGCCTGCCCTGGATTGTTGCCCTGAATCACTACCACCCACATTCCCTTACAGTCCACATTCATTCCTGCCAGCGCCTGGCCCCTAGGACTCTACGGTCCACAGCTGCCTCTCTGGCCTTGACTGGCCTTGAGCCTCAGCAGTGATGTGAGCTTCAGTCACCAGAGTTTCTTTCGTTATTTTTAATAATTTCCTATGTATGAAATGATAAACTGTGCCCTAGAACAGAGAAACTCACTTGGAAGAGAAGATCTGGTCTAACAGAAAATTGGATATATTCAATGTCCATAAACAATGGATTTTATTGGTTTTTATGAGTGTCATTCATTGCTGTATGCGTAAGAATCACATGTTAATGTATTCTTTATTGATGTTAATGGGACTTGAATATGGTGCATTCAAGTTACTAAGACATCAGTGAGTACAGGAAAGAAAACAGCAGCAATTCTCTGTTACTGGTACTAGTAATTATCATAGACAAGACTCCTCCTATGTGCTAGTCATCACTTGATACCACTATTCTTCAGAGCTGACAGTCTTTCAATATGAATAACTAGAATGTCCCAGAGACCAAACGCCCTGCTCCATGACCAGAGAGTACCTCACATTTCTTTTTTCCCTGTGGATGAACTGAAGAACACTGGTGAGGAAGGAGACAGATGCCAATGAAAACCAAGTCCTCACATACTAGCTTTTCCCTTCATTGTTCCCATCTCTCATTTAATATGAGGGCTACTTCATTCAAAGCTCACTGTATCAAAAGTTTAGGATTTCTGAGGTCAGAGGAACTCTCATAAAGGAGCAGAGTATGCTGATGATGAAAAGTGGGATTCTAGTGATGAGCGCTCCAAGCAGGCAGATAGAATAGCAGAACCAAAGCAACCTCTCACAATAAGCACAGTAGGCTGGATGGTCATGTGGACAGAAGTCTGCTACGCAGGCTGAGAAAAGTCTCAGGTAGAAAATGAAGATTATCTGAACAAGATTTGGATTTAGTAATAAAATGTTAAAGATTCTTAAATCACAGAAAAAGTGATGAAATTGGGTTTTTGGGAGATGGGGAAATTGGTCTATTGGTGTGTGGGATGCACTGGTGCATCTGAGAAATCATGTAGAAGTTTAGAAGTCCACTGTACCAGGATGTCCTGGATGTACTGAGAACACAGGCAAAAACGGACTGGATGAATACGGCAGGGGAAGGATGGGAGGTTTTATACTTGTTATCCCAAAGATTTGTGGCTATTAAAAGTTAGGTGTCCTGTACAAAATAATTTTGGGTAGAAACCCACAGGGAAGGTTTGGAAAGAACAGATGGCATCAGGGCTCAGTCTCTGCAGCGTGTCTGATGTCAGGCCCATCACCTACACCAGCCAAGCTGTTGTAGATTCAGTGACATCCTCAGCTTTCTCTTTCCTGAGCATAGATACAAGGTCTCTGGGAACTTACTACAGTTTCACCTGACTGGTTTTTTGCTGAAAATAAAAATTTCTTTTTCTGTTGCCTCACAGTGCAGCATCTTTCACATATGATAGATGGAGATGAGGGAACCTGAGGGGACGAGACCAGGAGGCCCCAGGACCTTTTATTCCTAACACTGAATCTGGGGCAGCACTTCCCAGAATAGCTTCAAACACTTAAAAGGGGGCCCTTCCTGGTATTCCTGGTAGTGCAGTGTGTCAAAGTACAGCACTGTGAAGCTATCCCGAGCCAGGGAGCTGACCAACATGGGTGGCAGACCTCTCCCATCTAGCCCACTGCTCCCCTCAGCAGTGAATTTCAGTACATCTGCCTGCTCTGTTTCCAACTCTGTCTCTGGTGAATCCACTCACCCTCTTGCACCTCTGTACCTCAGGCCTGTACTCCAGTTCTTGTAGGCATAAATAAATCTTAAAAATAACAAAAGGGAAGTTACAGGGTGTGGGGTCGAGTGATCTACTTGGAGGATATTTATCACACTCCTGCCTTATGCCCTCTTTCTTCAGGCCCTGTCAGCCTTGGATTAGAAACTGACATGACTTTTCTCTGACAGCACAAGGAGCTTCTTGATAGTTCTAGCTGTGAAATGGGGGGCAAGGTGGCAGGGGTATAGGTGGAAGAAGAAATGTTCTTGGAGCCTGCAAGTGGTAAGTAGTTGGAAGTCAGCAGCTCAAATGAGACTCTCATCACCTTTCATCGTAGGGAGAGGTGGTGGGGGTGAGACAGCAGACCTATCTCCCAGGACTATGGCTTGCTTTTCCCAGAGGAAGATGGGGAGTGGGCATGGGCTTTTGATGGAATGCTTCTGGAAGATACACATTTTGTAAGTTTTTACAACTGTTTTATCTTTCTCCATATGCTTCTGGCATTCTTGGGATTCTGCAATTGGAGAAAAACTTACTAGGTTCTCAGTTTATCTCTGAGTGAACCTCCCCCACTATCAGACTTGAACAGATGGATACAGTTAGTCCTTGCTCAAGGTGTAGCTAAGTGCTAAGTGCACTGTCTGCTGGTCTGTGTTCTAATAAAACACCAACAGCTAAATTGGTACAGAGATTACACTTCAAGTTGCATTCCATGAGAACATCTGACTTGTCAAAGCTTCAGACAAATGGTAATTTTAAGTTCAAGTTTTTTTTAAGATCTATGTTAGGCCCACCCTGGTGGCACAGCGCGTTAGTGCTGCACTGCCAAGCCAGGCCAAGCCAAGCCGTGGCCACTTCAGTGTGTGGCCCTGGAGGTACCTCACATGGTGTAGCAGATCCTGATGTACCTGCTCAGCAGTGTACTTCGTCGATCTGTTTGTTCTGCTCCCTACTGTTTCTGATGAAGCCTCTCACCGTCCCAGCACCTCTGGCCTGTACCCCAGTTCTGTATGCATAAATAAATAAAAAAATATTTATTTATGCATACAGAACTGGGGTACAGGCCAGAGGTGCAGGGGTGGTGAGAGGATTCACTAGAGACTGAGTGAGAAGGAAAACAGGCAGACTGACAAAGTACACTGCTGAGACGAGTAGCAGGTGGATCAGGAAAGGTCTGCCGGGTCATGTGGGTCACCTCGGGCCACCTCGGGCTGGGAATTGAACTCGCACAGACGCGGCTGTGGCTAGCTTGCAGTGTTGCGTCTTACCCTGTTGTGCCACTAAGTTCAAGTTTAACAACAGATTTCAGTGTTTAGGCATTTCTCTGTTAAATTTCTAAAATATTACCAGAGACCGTGTTCTACATCAGAAAAGCTGCAGGGCCTCTAGCCTCGGGCATCATTAATCCTGGTTAATTCCTCAATTCTGTCTAGTAACCATTTCAAACTGTGAATTCCAACCCCATCATATCCCTCAGTGTTCAGCCTGGAGTAAACACCCACACATGATGACTCCCTCCACATTCTGTCATCAGGCCTTCTGAACACATCTCTCCCAGCTCTCTTCTGCTTCCACGGGAGTACTAGCAGACCTCTCCTGTTTCACCCACTGCAGTATACTGCATAGATCTGCCTGTTCTGCTTCCCATTCTGTCTCGAGTGAATCCTCTCAATACCTTTGTATTTCTGGCAGGTACCCTAGTTCTTATATGCATAAATAAACAAATCTTAAAAAAAAAAAAAAAGTTAACTCAGTACGTCATTATCTGCCCAGTCTAAATATGACCCAAAGTGAGAAAGCTGCCCATCGGTAGTTTCAGGAGAACATACCCTTCTTCAGTATCTGGCCCTTCTAAATAGCTTTACGTTTGTGCCCTTCTTTTAGAATGTAAAAGACAGCTGAGGAAGGGAGTGGTATCCCTGGCAGAGGGCACCCTACTGGCCAGAGCTGCCATAAACATTGCCTCAACAGGAGCTCCAGCTCTCAGACCTCTCTGAGAATACTCACTAGGATTAAACAAATGCCAGCCTCGCTCTCTATGTGCAGGCGAGTGTAATACATTTTTTTAAATGGGTCTTAGGCCCTCCCTGGTGGCACAATGGGTTAAGTCACAGCACTATCCAACTACTGCCAGTCATTATTGTCGATCCTCTGCCGGGCCAGGGAAGTGACCCACATGGCACAACAGACCTCTCCTGTTCTACCAGCTGCTCCCCTCAGCAGTGTATTTCAGGCACTCTGCCTGTTCTGCTCCCTACTCTGTCTCTGGTAATCCTTCCACACTCCCCACCTCCTCTGGCCTGTACCCCAGTTCTTGTATGCATAAGTAAATAAATAAATATTTGAAATAAATAAAAAGTAAAACAGGGGACCCTAAAATAAAATAAAAACGAACACTACAGATTCAACACAAACAAAAATGCCTCCCTCCGTTACCTCAGAGACCACATTTTGCTCTAGGAATTGGATTTCAGTGGAAGCAATATAGGAATCAGCCTTTCAGTGTGGAGTAGCTCTACTTTGTAATGAAGTAACAATCAAAAGAGGACAGAGGACTCCCAGACTTCAATTTTTACCCTAACCAATATCCTCTTCCCCAAAGAACTCAAAATTGATCTTTTGGTTTTAGTTAAAAGCTTTGCTGTGTGATATTTGAGATAAGAGTAAGAGGGAGCGGTGCCTCAAAATCTAATGGTTTCAACTTATTTCTAATTGAGTCTTAAAATACGAAGGATCAAAAGAAGCATTATTCCTCAGAAACCCAATTGGAATACCGTCCAATTGCTGCTTGATAACGATTTAGAACATAGTCCCTCTCCTAGTAAACAACATAATCCTGAAGCAGTTTATTGATTGTGAGGATTCTGGGAACCAGCTGGTCATTTGGGAAAAGAACATGACATTTACCTTCTTACTCTTAGAACCTTCTGTGTGTATCCTCTCTGTTCTTATGGCAGGTTAAGAGCTGAAAACACCCCCATTTCTTTATGGTACAAATTATTACTATCTTATTACTACCTGTATTCTTTTAAACTTTGGTTTTTTTTTATTGCTTTGTCATATTTTGACACATACTTTACACAGTTCTTATGGGGGTGTACCTTTCCATGAGATCTGACAATTATACACATCTGTGTAACTACCTTTCCAATTAAAATACAGAATATTTTCATCAATAATTGAGCCCAATATTTCGCCCCCACTGCAAAATTCCACAGCAGTTCTCTCTATAGCTGTATCAATGGTGGTGAATATTCTGCCATACCACCTTTAGTGTTATTCAATATGTTTTTTCAACATGCCATATCCTTACTCACACATGGCAAGACCAGTTTCTAATTTCAGTCACTCTAGAGTTGTATGGTGGTATCTCACAGTAACTTTGATTTACATTTCCTGAATAACTAATGACTTTGAGCACCTTTTCAGGGGCATACTGACAACTTATCTTTTATAAAGTATTCAGGTCATTTATATATTTTGATATGAATGCTGCAGTGACTAGTGATGTGTCTCAGAGTGATACATTTTGAGCTAAACTCTGTATTAATCGATTTGTCCAACCACTGAAAAATATGGAAGTCTACCATATGTCCATGGACTTTTCTAGTTCACTAACCTGATAAAATGTCCTTTAGTTGAAAAGTTTATAGTCCAGTGGAGAGAGTCAAAAGTGATTTTTGGTGGTATGGAAACGTTCTTTTAAGTCTTATGGTTAATGATAAAGTGTTGGAAGCAACATATAAGGGGGGAATGGTAGAGGATTTAGGTAACTCATGTGGGATGAGCTTGACGGATTATTATAATGCCATTACACGGATAATTAGGTTATTAAAAATACTTGGTTGTAAAATAAAAAGGTCAAATTTTAAATTGTAAATACGTTTGTTTAGGACTATAATAAAAACCAATTGAAAACCTGTACTATAATGTAAGTTGACGAAGGCTAGAAGTGTCGAGAAAAAAAAAAAGCTGTAGTTTTGTGTGTGTGTGTTTTAGTGGTATTATTATGGATATTTACGTCTTTGGTTTTGACTTTTTTTTTTTTGTCTTACCTGTTACTGTGTTCTTGACAGAAGAAACTGGCATCAGATGTGTTCTCCTGGGACTTTCTCCTACAGTTCACAGACGTACGTGTTAATATGAGACAAGATTTTAAACACGGATTTCAGTGCGAAGCAAGGCACTATCATGAAGACTTGAGTTTCCCCACGCAGAATCAGCAATTCCCAGCACGGTGAACTCACAACTGTGGAAATCCGGGAGACGAGAGAAAACAGGCAGCCACACGCCCAGGCGGCCGCGGCGCGAAGTGTTGACGCCACACGCCGGACGCGAGCAACGTCAGGTTTACGCAACCCCACTTCCGGTCCGCGTGCGTGTCGTTTTCGCGCTGCGGCAGTGCGCGCGCTGCGGTGCTGTGTGGTGCCAGGGAAGTCGGCCTCCTTCCCTCCAGGACCATGGCCACCGACTCGTGGGCCCTGGCAGTAGACGAGCAGGAGGCGGCTGTCAAGTCGGTCAGTGGCTTCAGTTCCCGGCGGGGCGGGCGAAGCAGGGTCCCCGTCGACCCCGATTTTCGTCTTGTGGCAGATCTGTCGTGCGGTCTCCCCCAGATTGCACGTCCTCGGTGGGGTTGTAAGGAAAGGCAGATTTACATGACGCTTTCTCATCAGTTTTTTGGAGTGATTCTGTGCTACCTGTTTCAGGATTTTTCGATCCAAGATTAACGTGGTTGGCAATCTGTGGTTCTTTGCAGATAACAGATTCCGGTCTGGATTTCATGTTTCAACTGCGAATGTTGGTGGGAGGTACTATAAATGGTTTCATTGCTGTTTACGGTGACTTTTAGTTTTAGAGGTTGATTAACAATGAATTGCCAATTATTCAATGGCAAGTAAGAGAGTGTGACTTTCTGTTCTTAGAGCCAGCCAAGTGTAGCTTTGACTCACTATTGGTGATAATGAACTATTGATTTTTTTTTTAATCTTTTTTTGGTATCCCTGTTTTAAGAAATCACACACTCAACTTTTGTCTAAATTACACTTTTCCAGTGACACTTTGTTACTTTGGGGAGGATTATCAGTTTGTCAGCAGATCCTTAAAATGAGCTGAATCCAGTGAAATGTAGGTGGAAACTTTGCAGTCTAGCTGGGAAGGCTAGATTCGAAAGTGCTGTGAAAGTGGTTAAAAGAATGTGATAAATGACCTCTGAGCACAGAATGGACATTTACAATTAGGGAAATTTCTTGTGTAGAAGTTTACATCTGAACTGAATATTGGAGCAAGAGTTTAAGATAGAGATGGATGTGTGAAGTGTTTTAGGAGAAGAGAACACCAAGGTGCTCCACTTGCCTAGAGAACAGAAATCAGAATTCCTGCAGCTTAAGGTATTTGGGTTGTATTGGGGGCCGTTTAGAAAATACAGGGAGTGTATTTTGAACCTTAACTAAAACCTTAAAAGAGAAGAAGCTGTATGTGGCTGGTTTGGGGAATTTTAAAAAAGATACTGACAAAATTAGCTTTGAAAGCTGGCAAGATTTATCTGACTGCAGGGAATAGAGTGTATTAGGAAGGGAGATCAGTGTAGAAGTTACTGTAATTTCCTATAGAGAGAGGGCTTACATTAGATAGTAGAAGGGAATTTAATAGGATTGATTCAGGAGATAATTGTGGAGGTATAATGGGCTGGAGTTAGAAAAAAAAAAAAGGAGCCAAGGTGACTGTTTCAGCCTAGCTCTCAAAGGTGTTAGATCTCAAAGATATTATTTATCAAGTAAAACTAGTAAGAGGACTAGTGGTTGGAAATAGAGATTTGATAAGGAAAATGGTGAGTTTAGGTTGGCTGTTGTGAATTTGCCGTATGGAGGATACGTAGTGTTAAATACTTGCATTGGGCAGCCCCAAAAGGTACCCAGGATAGTGGAGGTCTTAACAGGACTCAGCATACAGTTGTACTCATAACTATAACTTATTACAATGAAGAGATACAAAGCAAAATTAAGCAAAGGAGAAAACACAGAATGCTGAAAGAAATGAGGCACAGACTTCTAAGAGCACCTCTGAGGTGCTTATCAGACAAAAAAAGACAACTTAGGGCCTCTCTGGTGGCACAGGGGTTAAAGGCTCAGCACTGTCAAGCTGTCACCAGCCACTGTGGCCTGAGTTCGATCCCCAGCCAGGGAGCTGACCCACAGGGCACAGCAGACCTCTCCTGAACTACCCACTGCTCCCCTTAGCATGTATTTCAGTGGATCTGCTTGTTTTGCTCCCCACTCTTGTCTCTGGTGAATCCTCTTACCCCCTGCATCTCTAGCCTGTACCCCAGTTCTTCTTTGCATAAAAATAAATCCTTTTTTAAATAAATAAAAATAAATCTTAAAATAAAAAAGATGTAATTGCTTTGATTCCATATGGATTTCAAGGTTTAAAAAAATTAGCTTTTGTGCCTAGAAAGGAATTGTGTGCCACTGAAAGGATATCATATACTTAGTGAAGTTTAGATGTTCTATAAAGTACATAAATGAGAAGAAAAGCACAGGTTTAGACTTGTCATATTTTTTCTCTCTAATGTTACATCTGTTGCCCCCATCCACCTCCCTCTCCCCCCAACACACACACAAACTTTGAAGGCTGTTGAAGATGGAAGAAATGATGTTTTTACCCTGGCTTTTATCTGTTCTTGAACAGCACAACCTGCCATGTGGGAATTTCTTCTTGCTCAAAGGACTGCTTTTTTTTTTTTTTAAGAGATTTATTTATTTATAAAAGAACGGAGGTACAGGCCAGAGGTACAGGGGTGGGAGATGTAAGAGGATTCACCAGAGACAGAGTAGGGGGTAGAAAAGGCAGGTCGACTGAAATATACTGCTGAGATGAGCAGTGAGCAGGTCAGGCAAGGTCTGCTGGGCCATGTGTCAGTTCCCTAGCCAAGGATCCAGGAATCGAACTCTGGCTGCAGTGGCTGCAGATTGCTGCATAGTGCTGAGATTTAACCCTTAGTACCATCAGGGAGGCCCCTAAATGGGTCACTTGTTTAACTTAGTTTCCTTTTATTCCCTTACAGATGAATAATTTGCAGATCAAAGAAGAGAAAATCAAACCAGATACCAATGGTGAGTTACCCCTTACTACTAGCTGGACAGAAGTTTATGTGTACTTTGGTTCTGCACTCAGAGATACAGTATTAAAAGCAACTCTTGGGTCTCCCTGGTAGTGCAGGGGCTGGGGGCTCAGTACTGTCAAGCTGTCATCAGCCACTGCAGCATGAATTCGATTCCTGGCTGGCCCACATGCAACAACAGACCTCTCCTGACCCATCCATTGCTCCCTTCTGCAGTGTATTTCAGTGGATCTGCCTGTTCTGCTCCCCACTTTGTCTCTGGGGAATCTTCTAACCTTTCCCGTATACCTCTGGCCCACACCCCACACCCCAGTTCTTGTATGCATACATAAATGAATCTTAAAAAAAAATAAAAACAGCTCTTTAGCAGTGTTTGCAAACAGCACCACTGGCTTTGAGAGCCACTCAATTTGTTTTCTTTACTAAAGGGGATAGGTTAGTTTTCCAGATTTTTTAAAAAAAGATTTATTTATCCATACAAGAACTGGGGTACAGGCCAGAGTTGGGGGGTGCTGAGAGCATTCACCAGTGAAAGCGTGGGGAACAGAACAGACATAGATGTACTGGAATATACTGCTGAAGGAAGTAGTAGGTGAGACAAAAGAGAGGTCTGCTGCGCCATGTTGATCACCTCCCTGGATATGAATCGAACTTGGATGGAACTTGTGCTGCAGTGGCTGCCAAGAACTTCATGGTGCTGTGTTTAACCCCTTGCGCCACCAGGGAGGACCCAGTTTTCCAAATATGATCTAGCCTCTGACTCCTTAAAATCAAGAATCATTTTGAATTATACTACTAGTTTTCTTGATATTGTTTCTCTACAAATTTTTAATTTTTGACTCTGAGATAAATTCAAATTTTTTTATAGAAAATTTTATTTGGGGTCTCCTCCCTACTGGCGCAACAGGTTAGGATACAGCACTGCAAGCTGACCGCAGCCACTTTAGTGTAAGTTCAATCCCCGGCCAGAGATATGATCTACATGGCTGAGGCAAACCTTTCTTGACCCGCCCTCTGCTCCCCTCAGCAGTCTACTTCAGTGATCTGCCTGTTCTGCTCCCTACTTTGTCTCTGGTAAAGCCTCTTACCACCCCTGCCCCTCTGGCCTGTACCCCAGTTCAGCATGATTGAATAAAATTAATCTTTAAAAAAAAAAGTTTACTTGGGAGTAGGGAGGAATTGCAGTTTGGGGTATGTAGCCTTAGCAAGCTGCAGATAAGCCCTTGAGGGATTGGAGTTGACTGTATTTTTGCATAGGGAAAAAGTGTAGTTAGAATCTGCTAAAATTAAAAGAGACCAGTCATGAAAATTTGTCAGTAGACAAAACCAGATCCATCATACAATTAAAGCTTAATTCAGCCCAATTTGTGAGACCAGTTCAACCCAGGTGACTTCTTGTCTATGTCTCTGGAAACCCTAATAAAACTTCCCAGAGTTGACGTCCTTTGATTAACTCCCTATCATTTAAGGACATTCTTACACCAGTTAATCATTGTGAGGAATAAACAATCATGATTTTCTCATTATATATAGTACTTTATGATTCTGTGGCTTGAGAGCTCCCATTCTGTCTTGCAAGCTGTTCTCATCCTATGTGCCAAGACACCTCTAAAAGTGACTGTTTTGGTGATTTGTTAGCTTTGCTGTCACTAATCCTGAACTTTTGACAAACTCAGCTATTCCTGGCAGATGTCCATTGGTAGAGGTCTGGGTTTCAATTTTCTATAAGTCAGGCATTTATAGGAAATCAGTCTCAGCCTATCAGTTCATAAGTTTTGTGTTCTTGAGGGCATGGGTATGAGATATTCTATTTTATATCCTACAGGTCTATTTAGATTGAAATGCACAGTTTAAAACTCAGTATGAGCATTTGTTCCTAGTAATCTTTGTGTATGAATTTTTGGAGGGAATATTATGAATAAATTCTTTTTTTAAAGATTTATTTATTTATGCATACAAAAGCTGGGTTACAGGCCAGAGGTACAGGGGGTGAGAGAGTGCTTCAGAGACAAAGTGGGGAGAACAACATCTACTGAGATACACTGCTGAAGGGAACATGGGGTGGGTCAGGAGAAGTCTGCCACGCTATGTGTGTCACCTCCCTGTCTAGGAACAGAACTCGTACTGCAGTGGCTGCCAACAGCTTCACTGTGCTGCGCTTTAACCCATTTGTGCCACTAGGGAGGGCCTTCAACTTACCTTTAAACTCTAAATAGCTCAGAGTTGCTTTTTGTCCATTCTAATAATCCGTCCTTTCATTGGAACATTCTGTCTGTAGTAACCACATTTGATTATTGACACAGTTGGGTTTAGATGATCAAATTATCAATTTTTTTTCTATCTGTCCCTTCATAAATTTTGTCTTCTCCTTTCCTGCCATTTTTGGGTTAATGGAATGTTTCTATAAGCTGCTTAGCTGTCCATTTGCACTATTTTTTTTAAAAGATTTATTTATTTATGCATACAGAACTGAGGTCAGAGGCACAGGGGCGGTGAGAGGATTCACCAGAGACAGAGTGGGGAGCAGAACAGGCAGATTGAGAAGTACATTGCTGAGGGGAGCAGTGGGCGGGTCAGGAGAGGTCTGCCGCGCCATGTGGTCACCTCTGGGGCAGGCGGGGATCAAACTCATGCTGAAGTGGCTTTAGCTTCTTAGTGCTGTGCTTTAACCCACTGTGCAGGGAGGGCCCTCTTTGCACTATTTTATGAGTGTTTTAAAGTTATTTTTTAGTGTAAATCTTGCTTACTTTTGTTAAGTTTATTTCTTGGTGCAATATTTTGTCTTTTTAGTTACTGTTATAAATAGGAGCTGTTCAGTTTTCTGTACTTATGAAAGCTACTAATTTAATTTACGTTGTACCTAACTCTTCTACCTTTTATCTAGAGAGCTTATTTAAAGTTTATAGTCGGGTGCCCTCCCTGGTGGTGCAGTGAGTTAGCACATAGCACTGCAAACTAGCTGCAGCTGCTTCACTGTGAGTTTGATCCCATGAGATTTTCTTAAACAATTAGAAACATGGCATGACAGACCTCTCCTGTCTCATCCACTGCTTCCCACTCTGTCTCTGGTGAATCCTACACCTCTGGCCTGTACCCCAATTCTGTATGCATAAATAAATAAATCTTAAAAAAATAAATTAATAAAGTTGATAGTCCTGCAGGTTTACAGTCATATATTCTAGAAAAAAAATGATCATTTTACCTACTCCTTTTTTTTTTTTTTTTTTAAGATTTACCCATTTATTCATATAGAACTGGGGTACAGGCCATAGATGTGGAGGGTGAGCACCAGGAACAGGGTGGGGAGCAGAACAGGCAGATCGACGAAGTACAGTGCCGAGGGGAGCAGCGGGCGGGTCAGGAGAGGTCTGCCACGCCATGTGGTCACCTCCGGGGCAGGCGGGGATCGAACTCATGCAGAAGCGGCTTAAGCTTCTTAGTGCAGTGCTTTAACCCGCTGCGCTACCAGGGAGGGCCCTACTCCTTTTATTTTTAATTCCTTTATTTTTTTTCTAATATCTAATAATGTTTGTGCATATAATGTTCTATTTTAAATTAGGATAAGTCAGAGGAAGCAGTGAAGTGAGGCAGAGTTCTATAAATTTGAGATTTTCTTAAACAATTAGAAACTCCATAGGAACAGAAATCCATTCAGTATAAAGATACACCAAATATTTGCATTATGATCACCTATGTTTAGTGTTTCCATTGTCCTACCTCCAGGTGTGAGTTTACTATTTGCTTTTCTAATTATGACACCTGTTTTCTTGTGCAGGAGTTGTCAAAACCAATACCACCGGGGAGAAAACAGATGAAGAAGAGAAAGGTAACAATTTGAAACCCTGTTAGAAGAGAAGGTGTGACCCGGCACTCACCTTCCTGGCGTCAGTGGCATTCCATTTACAGTACCAAGGAAATGAGAAGGAACCAGTAGGAGATTGAGAAGAAGCAGTCAGTGAGGTAGAAGGGTAACCAAAGGAATGGTGGCCTAAAAATAAGAAAAAGGTTTTTCAAAAGTAGGATGTCAAATATAGGTGATAAATTGATTAAGCACTAAAAATTGACCATTGGGCTAACTTAAGATCATAGAAGTCATTGGGAATTGATAAGGGCAGTTGAGGTTAAGTGGGGAGATTTAAAAAAGGCCTGTATACATTCAGCAGAGAAAGGGAGGAAAGGGCATGAGATGGTAAGCATAGATAGCTTTGTAAGGAATGTTCTATAAAGGGCAGCAGATAAAATGGGGCAATAAGTGGGTGAGGATGTGGAACAAAACGATGCAGATTTTGTTGAATGCTACTGAACATGTTCAAATGCTGGTGGCACCAATCACTGGACAGGCAGACTTCTATGCAAGCATCTTGGTCCATATTGGGAGAAATATCTTTGTTGCTGAGTGAGGGGGTGGGGTGTGGCAGGGACATTGCAGACAGGTTGTATACAGACAGGTTGGGGGGGTGTATGAAGTAAGATGTCGGGCAGTATGTGCGTGTGCCTTTTTTGTTGTTGCTCAGACGCACTGGGGTGCAGGCCAGAGGTGCTGGGGATGAGAGTATTCACCAGAGACAGAGTGGGGAGCAGAACAGGCAGATCTACTGAAATAGATTGTTGGGGGGGGGTGCGCATGAGACAGGAGAGGTCTGCTGTGCCATTTGGCCTGGGGATTGAACACAGGCCACAGTGGTGATAGCACTGAGACTTAACCCCTAGCTCACCAGCAAGGCTGCAGGTGCTTTTGACTACATGGACTTCTCAGTCTCAACAGTAGTTGAGTGAGAATGCGGTGGGTTAGAAGTTTGAGAAGAGAGAAGGTACAGCTGGAGGTCTGAGAAGAATGAATAAGTAGCTTGTAGAAATAGAAAGATCCATTGGCATCTCAGTCCATTTGAGGCTAGTGGGTGAGAATTGAATTGAGACCTGTCAGTGTGATTGTGGTTTCTTGCAACCATGCTTGGCTACCTGGGGACTCCTAGAACTGTATAAAAAGAAGTGTTAGGAGGGTAGGAACATAGGCTGTTGTCCAGAGTTACAGAGCGATGAGTGTGAAGAAAATCTGATTTCCTCCTGCCAGAGGACAGAGCCGCCCAGTCCTTACTCAACAAGCTGATCAGAAGCAACCTCGTCGATAACACAAACCAGGTGGAAGTCCTGCAGCGGGACCCAAACTCCCCCCTCTACTCAGTGAAGTCCTTTGAGGAGCTTCGGCTGTGAGTATTTATTCCTTTGAACCACGTTTCCTTACCTTTCCCTTAGCATCTCAGAGATCTTGTGGTAATTTACTTTTTATTTTTAAAAATCTTACTGTGTTTAGTTCTTTAACTAGTTAATAATGCACATGATTTAGAAATCAGAAAGTAAGAAAAAGGTTACAGTGATGGCCACCGCCCGCCTTTGTCTCTTGGTTACCCGGTTTTCCTCTTGGTAGGGATTTTTAAATGCCACAGATTTATGCATCATAGCTGAAAGTCTTTTTTCTTTTATGCTCTTAGAACTTTCAATAAAATATTGGCTGACAGTTGATTTCTGGATGTCAGGAACATTTCTTATTAGGTAAGCCCTTTTGTTAGACTATAGGGTTTACGGTCTTAAGAACAATTCATCTGTTTTTGTAAGATCTGTCAAAAGAGCCTGTGCAGGAGTCCCAGTACCTACAGAGGAAGGCAGCCTTTGGCATTCCAGAATTCAAAACACTCCAGAACTCAACACTAAGCTTTAGGGAGCACATTTATGGCACTGTGCTAAGAATGACTTTTAATGTGTCATTTAAAAAACAAAAAATTATGAAAGGTCATCATACCAAGATTTTTGTTTTCTTCATAAAGTTCATAAAGACGTGCTGTGGCTCCCTGGTTTATATGCATGCGTTATGCTGGCTGTTAGGAGTATCAAGAGACATGGCGACTGCGTTTGCTACCTGCTAGGACCCTGGCCACAGAAATAGAATTAGCTGGTAATTAAGTGTGACCCATTTTCCCCAATGTTTTCAATCAATTATATTTTTCTCAGTGTATTTCCTCCATCAAGGCCTTCATTCCGCAAATCCGTCACCTGTGCCCTGTTTATATCAGGGTAGTTAGGTCTGGACAGTTTGCTTTCCCAAGTATGGGTTTTTTTGTTTTTGTTTTTGTTTTTTTAATTCTTTCATTTAAAGGACTTTTAGGGCCTCCCTGGTGGTACAAGGGGTTAAGTCCCATCGCTATGAAGCTATTGGCAACCACTGCAGCATGAGCTCAATCCCCAGCCAGGGACATGACCCATGTGTGCAGCAGACCTCTCCTGCCCTGCCCACTGCTCCTTTCAGCAGTGTATTTCAGTAGATCTGTCTGTTCTGCTCCCCACTGTATCTATGGTGAATCCTCTCACTTCTCCCATCCCCCCATCACACACACCTCTGGCCAACAACCCAGCTCTTTTTCTAAGATTTATTATGTATGCATACATAATTGAAGTACAGGACAAAGGTTCAGGGACGGTGAGAGGATTCACCAGAGAAAGAATGGAGAACAGAACAGGCAGATCTACTGAAATATACTGCTGGGGGAAGCAGGGGACTGGTCAGGAGAGGTCTGCCTCGCCATGTGGCTCACCTCCCTGGCCGGGGATTGAACTCGTGCTGAATTGGCTGCCAATAGTATCATAGTGATGTGGCTAGCTTTGTAGTGCTGCACTTCAAACCAGAGTGCCAGGTCTTGTATGTATAAGTAAATCTTTTGTAAAAAAAACAGGACTTTTTTTAAATGAAGTCAGCTATTCAGCCATGATGGGTTGTCCTTTTCGAATAAGGAAGTTCTCTATGATGTAGTGTTCAGTAGTCACAGGAAACAAAGAATGAAACCTAAGTCTCCAGGTAAACTTGGCCTGTTTTGTACTTAAAAGATTTGAGTTAACCTACAAAATAAAAGAAAAATGAAGTCACTGGAAGCTTTTGGATCACTTGGATCCTAATCCTGGGAGGAACTTTGTTTCCTTGGCAACCAGATCACAATCTGCTGAGCTTTACAATCTTTTCTTCCAAACAAAAGACACCAAAGGTTACAGAGTTCTTTGTGGCTGAAAACCAACATATGCTAGAAACATTTGTCTTTTGGAGAGGCTTTGAGAACAAAAGTCTTGACTTCATTTGACTTTTCATTAGAAATAATCTGGTGCAGTTTTAAAAAAACACCCTGTTGATTTAAGAGAACTTATTGTAAATGTGATGTTAGAGTAACTTTACTATTCTATTCTTGATCTTCACTGTCATACTAAATTTAGCCATTTGTAAAGTTAGTACGTCACCTGAACCCTTCTTAACCTGTACACTATAAGTCAGCTTCTAGAAACTGCTCAGTTTTCTTATCTTTTGCTTGTCCCACTATTTGTATAGCTGGCATTGAAATGACTTTGGAACACAAAGTGATTGCAGTTCAATTTAGCATCTGCACTGAGATGCTAAAACTGAATCTCATTCCCTAAAGGGAATTCTGTAGCTTAGCAGTTTACTATGCAGTCTTTATTTTTAGATGTCTTTTATAATTTATTTTATCCTATGAATTAATAAATACTACTCTTGTAGTATCCAGGGAACATTTGTCATTCAAGGCCAACTTCTTTATGAATTAAGGATAAGAAAATATATCTGACATAAAATATCATTCTTGCAAGATATAGAAAACAATGAAACTCTCAGCCATTAAAACAATGTCAGCAATTAGGTATCCATCTTTTCTATCCCTGGCCTCAAGGAAACCACAACTTCTCCAGGGAGTCTACGCCATGGGCTTCAATCGACCATCCAAGATACAAGAGAACGCCTTGCCCATGATGCTTGCTGAGCCGTGAGTATGCAGACCCCAGAAATACCACTTCAGAATTTGGTTTAGTGTCTTATACCAACAGCCATTATTGTTCCTGAGACAAAATGGTCTATTATAGGTAAAAGCTTAGACCAAAAAAAAAAAGTGGAATTCTGGACAGTTTTTGTCTTTCCCACTTGGCAGTAAAAATGGATAAACTGGTGCTATTGTT